CTTCTAACCCGGTGCGCTTTATATATGGAAAAAGTTTGAAAAATTAACATTAACTGATACTGCGGCTTATAATCCGGTGCAGCTTTTGGTCGTGAAAATACGGTATATGCCAAATTGCTCAAATGGCAACTGATGTTCCTCAGAACATGAAGTACATATAACTTATAGATGCCAACCCCACCCCACCCCACCAATATTGCATTTGGGGAAAATTGATAGCTTGATTTTATTTTCAGGTTTTGGAAATACAGTAGCCAGTGCAATTTATCAGTTTTAAATCAGAAGTTTTGAAACCCTGCATCAGCCTTCCCCAATCTGGTCCCACAACTCCCATAATTTTAGTAACTAGAGTTCTAAAACTAGTATTGTTTGATAAAGGTGGAGCCTACCTGAAGAACAGGTCCAATGTTAGCTTCTATATCTTTTGAAATATGTCCATGTGCCTCTGAATTTGGAGGCTGTTTGTTTGAAAAGCCCTTGCCTATATTATGAAGAAAAAACAAAAATGAGATGTCAGAGATTGAATAGATAGTCCTATCCACTTCAGTCCCACACATTCTGCTCATCATGGCGAAAATATTTCCTGCCTTCATTTAGCCAATGAAGTTGAGTATCTCCAAGAAAATGATTACATAATTTATCTTGTAAAGTCTTGACCAAATCTGTTAGAACACCTTGAGAGAGCATCTGAGCATGTAATATGAAGAAATAAGGGGAAGTCCTGATATATGAGAAAAAAGCCTCTCCTTTAACACTGAACACAGCCTATAAATAACGTTTTCAGCAAAAACAGTGTTAGGAGCTGGAGGAAATAAAAGAGAATACAGTCTTTTATAAATACTGGACAAAGGCTTGCTAGAAAACAAAGCAAAACTTAAAGTTTTGCTTAGAAAACAAATGTGTCAGGAAATCTCTTTTACAATGGATTCCTCTAATTTCAATTTCCTTCTAAATGAACTGGATTCACAGAAGTTTCTGTGCTAAAAGAAAGATCTGTGAAGAAAACACTTTTCCTAGAATTTTCCAAAGCAAGTGTCTGAGAAATGATATTCTCACCTCTGGCCATTTCTGTATCTTCTTTGTCGCTCCATTTTTCATTTTCTGAGAAACTGTCAATATCACTGCCAGTTTCTAGTTCTTCCATTAAATCTTCTATGGCAAATGGGGACTGATCCACAATGGTTTCAAAGATGCCACAAATTATGGCTTGCAGCATAAGATGACTGAACAGTGAAAAGATGAGGGGGGGGGGGATATATTTAGAGAATGTGGTTAATACAACTTCTTTGTAGTCTAACTCTTAAACGCGTTCTGAGTAATTCAGAAAATAAGGAAAAACAGACAATCGCATGATTATAGTTTCCTAATTTTCCGAGGTATGCAGGAGGGTAAAGAACAATTATTTTTATAATGGCTACATAGAAATGCTGTTGCTATAGTTACATATACTTGTACTTTCAGGCATTTTTAAAAAATATTTCTCAGTCAGCATGTTGCTATCCTTCACAGTAGCTTTTCCTTTGTTTTGCACCTCCATTCAGATTTTTATTTACTATTTTTAAAACAGTAGATTAATATAAATATTGACAAGATTTGAACATACTCCTTGGTCCTGGCAATGATTTTGCAGAATGGTTCAATAAATTTAATGTTCTGGCCTGCTGTGAGCTGTAAAGATAAAATACAAAAATTACTTCAACATAATCTTTATCAGTCAGTTCTAAAATCATCATCCAAAATCCAAGAGCTACCTGAAACTGAAATATCTTATTCCAGAAGAAAAAAGAAATAATGAGAAAAGGTAGAGTTAATTTGGAATGATTACATAATCAACTGCAATGCTTTCAAAATTTTGAGCAATTCTTGTATAATAGTCATTTCAGCAGTTATTGGCACTGATATAATCAGTACTGCAATGATTGTGTACTACTTCTAATAGAAACATTCAAAACAAGAAAAAAATGGAAAAGACATTTCTATTATTGCTGCTCAATGCACAACTGCAGTTTATTTATATATAGCAGACATAAAGGGCAAAGCACTACCAGCAAAGAGAAAATATTGTTTATTGGCATAAGATGTTCCAAAATAATGATGAACTGGTTAAATTAATAATATAACTCTATAATACAGAAAATACACATTTTAAACATTGTTATGTATAACTACAGATAAGCTGACTCATGAAATGTAAACTAAAATACTATATAGTATTATAGTAATAGAAAAAAGGGTATTGCCACCTTTCAGTGAACACCTTTTGCTGACAAGATTTGTGTGGTGACACCTGTGGATTTGTATTTTTTTACTTAAAAGATAAACAATAGGGAAAAGATTTAGATTTAGGGAGGGTGACAAGCTATTAACATGTTTTTTTATATATATACTGGGATTAATGGGTAAAGATAACTTTTTTCACACTTCTTTTTCACGCTTGTTTCTTTTTGTATTTTCTGTTTGTACGCTTATTTACTTTTATTCCTTTCATGTATACAAAACTAATTGGAAACCAGGGTACTGTTCACAAAATAAAATAAACTGAGCCTTAGAGCATCACACAGTAAAAACTTGACACCACTGATTTTAATACATTTTATAAAGAAGTAAAGTGTAACAATCTTCCCCTAACCTGATGCTTTTCAGGTGTTGGGGCCAGCATAGAAAAGCCTAAATGTCATGCAATTTGCTACTGACCTCTTTAGCTCCAATGTTAGCCAGTTCTTCCAGATAGATATCAATGAAATGCAATTTTATACCAATGGGGGCATGGCTGTTTGGATGCATAACTTCCATTATTAACATGTTCAGAAATCGTTCAATTAAACTGGAAATGTAAAAAAAAAAGTTTGTGGCATAGACGATTCAGTTGCATTACATCATAAAATATTTTGTCAGGTCCAAAAAGTGCTCACCAAAATATATTTGGCAAAGCATGGATTGAATGGTTTCATCTCCACGTAATGTAGGAACAAAAAAAGAGGTGCATGTGCCTGACAACAAAACAGAGTCCAAATCTCTCACTAGTATACACTTTTTAAAACATAGTTCCACAAATGGCACCTCTTCCAGAATGGCAGCACTTCTCCAGTTCACACATGGTCCCTGGAAACCACTGGTTGGGCTATCTTTTGAAAAGGCAATCAAAGACCAAGGCGGCGAGACCCAATGGTGCAGAAAGTAGGTCCAAAGCCTGTGGGGACTCAACTGGGTGGGAAGCAGCCTCAAGGTACCCAGAAAGGCAGAATGAGGGATAGGATAGTTGGTGGGGACAGTTGTAATGTCCCTGTGGTCAGTTGTAAGAACAAGCAGATTGTCAAGCAGTCACATTTTCATCATGTGACTGTGAGGGAGATGTATTAGTCATAACATTGAGTATAAATTGTATGTCTCTTCATTCAGCACCATTGCAATTTTGAATGGTCACTGAATGATCATAAGCTGTAGACTACATGTAGATCAGATGAGATTAAATCAATGAGTAGATAAGTGATGTTCATAGAACACGCAGTTAAAAGAAATATGTCAGCATCATTTTTAATAGATGAAATACTATGTTTGGTAGTTAAGCAGATAATATAGATCTCACAGAAATCAATGCATGTATCTATCACGCTAAGCCATGATCTGATTTGCAAAACTAGGTGCACCATAAAACATGATTTACAAACACACTATGGTGAGGTATTTATAATGAAAAAAATCAAAAGCACACAAGATAGCCACATTATACAAACAACAGATATGGCCTACCTTTCATTCCATTCATTTCTTTTCAGAACTTCAAAGGACTGTCTCAGCATCATGCGGATCAACTAGGTTAGAGGGAAAAAAGATGCATACAATTTTCCCAACCATGTTAAGTTTATAGGACAGCACTTGATGTATTGAAATAACTTGAACAAAACAGGGATGTTCTGTATGCATTTTAAGCTAAATTCTACCCCTCATGGATGAACTGTATGTTCACATGTTATGAGTTTAGTACCCAATGCTATGTTGGCTGAATGCATCATGGATTTCTGTACATCCACTGTTTCTGAGTGGAATAAAGGTTGTGGTTGTGGTCCATAAGTGAGAAAGCAGGAGTGAGAAAGATAAGTCCAATGTCTTGTTCATTCACTGAATACAGGACAGCATTTTACAATGGGAAAGGAGATACAGGTAGTCCTCACTTAACGGCCACAACTGAGCCCAGACACTTGGTCATAACTTGTTGCATTCATTAAGAGGGTCATCATGTGACTTGACTTGATTTTACAACTGTTTTTATGACGGCCATAAAAACAGCCATCATGGTTGTTATGTGAACCAAGTGGTCATTAAGCAATCACATGGTTGTTAAACAAACCCATTCCCTAAAATAAATATTTTTGCCAGCTGCTAAATTGACTAATGATATGGAAGTTGAGATATCGCATAGCGCTCTAGACAGCATGCTTTATAACACTTCAATTTCCTAAGTATCACTAAAATCTATCTATGAAATTGATTAGGACAATTTTCTCAAATCTGGCACCTTCTAGATACATTGGACTATAATTCCTATTATCTCCAAAAAGCAGAGCTGAACAGCAATCCTATGGGCATTATTAATCAAATTAAGCATTTGTTTAGGAAACAACAGAATTCCCATTACCATGACTTTGGTAAATAACTTATTTACAAAACAATAGGCCTCAGTCTCAAGCAAGAAGCACATGGAGTTTGCAAAAGATAAATGTAGTTTATAAATGTAGACACAGATGGGCTAACAAGAGCCATAAACAGATACCAGGGAGCACAAGTGAGCTGGCAGAAAGTGTGTGCATGCAACAGGACATGGGAGGTGCTACAGAGTATGGAATTCTTCAAATCTCATATTCCCTGGGATAAAAAGTGGCAGGAGCAACTTATGATCTTCGCTGCCAGCTTCCTCAGTGTTTTTTTTTTTTTTTTGTGGGAAGCTAGAGATAAGGTCAAAAAAGGCAATTGTGGCTATAGTTTGCTGCAATGTCATAATCTTGAGCCAAGTGCCTGAGCACCCAGATTGCAATTATGTGACCTAGGGTCACTGCAACAGCCATAATGGTGTGGACGGTTGTTAAATCCCCCTCATTTAGTACCATTGTAATAACGGTAATTGAATTAGCTATCATAACTCCAGGTCTACTTGTAATGGTTCAAATAACTCATCTCTCTTGCTGTATCTGAACAAGCATTTAAGAACTAGGAATCCTATTTGAAGGATTATATAGAAATTTTATTGTATATGCTAGCTTATATTTTTTTTTCCTTAGCTTTGACTAAAATATTAATAATTTAAATGTATAACAGGGCATGAATATTTTAATATTTTTATATCATAGAACCTACCAAAGATTCATAATTGTTTATACTACATTAACATTACAAATGCATTAATACTCACAATGCAAATATTTGGAATACCAACAATAAATAGTAAAATCTGAACATAATTTCATTAAATAATAAAATACTAAAAACCCAACAATAAGTTACATTACTCATATATGTATTGTACATTAATTATTCAAGTAAATAAAGAGAACTGAAATCTGGATTAAAATTAACAACTAAATATGCTAACTATGATTTAGAAGTTCTTTTCAAACAAAGTTGTACTTTTGCTTAGAAAGTTTATTTTGTAAGAATGTAAACATATTCTAAACATAAATAGCACATTTAAACGTGAAAATGCATTTTAAATTGATATTAATTTGCTTTATTACCAATCCTATTTCTGAAAGTGAATCTTTTGTTGTGGAACAATATATCCCTGGATATATTGGAGGTTTTAAGAAAAGACTGGACAGTCACCTATCTGAAATGGTATACAGTCTTCTGCTTGAGTAGGGGATTGGACTAGACCTCCAAAGTCCCTTCCAGCTCTATTCTGATTCTGATTCTCTGTGTTCTCTTTTTTCCAAGGAACTTTTAAAAAGGGAAGAAGAATTTAACTTTACCATGTAAAATTTATCTAGACGCAATCGGTCTAATCCATTCCATTCACGATTCACAGTTTGCCAGAAAGTCTGAATGAACAAGTGTCCTGTTTTGAGATAATAAATATAATGTTTAAATTCCATATTTTCTTCTTCAATGTTTTCAGTCACCTTTCATAAGTGACAAATTATTTTTTAAGAATCCCAGCAGCAGACAGACCAAAGGAACTAAAGAGCTGGTATGTATAGCCTTTTTTTTTGGGGGGGGGGGGGGGGGGGGCTTGTTGCTTTAAACACTGAATTCTCAGCTGATCCACCTGAGCTGAAATCTTGCCATAGATAGTGCCAAAGCGGAGAATGGGCAACCCTCACACCCTTTTTGTATTCTCTTGTCATCTGTTCTCAGAGAATATTACACCAAAGGCCTCTCCAGATTACTATTCCACCTCCACAAGAGTTAACCAGGCCCCTGAGAGTAGTAAAGTATGGAGAGGGAGAATAAAAGGACAACAGAATCCTCCTACCTATATTTCTCAGCAGTTTGTGTTCAGAGATGCATCCTTATAAAGTTATGACTTGCAACAATTAATAGTTTTGTCTAAAAATATTTAAGCCCTTTTAAAAAACATCCAAATTTGGGGTTTGTTGTTGCTAACTCTTTCTACACCATTAAGCTGTAAAGAATTTAAATTTGGTTGCCATTTAATCCTTTGTATTAATACTAATATATTGGCCTGTAGTAAATACTAGCTTCCTGTGCAATACTCTGCCCCAGAATATGTGATAGAAATATATTTACTGCTGTTGCTGTTTAAGGATTCTGATAAATCTCCAGGAAATAAACTTCTGGCTTCATAACTTATTCTGCCTTGCACTATTTCTATTTGCGATGCAAAGCCTTGGCTACAAGCTCCCAAACATAAAAGAAATAAAAATAATGAGACTTACGAGTATCCATATTCTCGATTAAATGGATTAGTTGTGATATATTATTTGACAACTCCTCCTGGAAATTTAAAATTTTGTTTAGTAATAAAGTCACAAAAGTAGATTCTTATCAGTATAATATTCAGGAAATTCCCCTCTCAGAAAGCTGACCTTGTTATCAGACCTTACCTAAATATAGAAAACGATGATGGGTATAAGCACCAATACAATTTGAGCTTGGTTAAGCTCTTCTGCCATAGTTAGATACAATAAAGGTAGAATATGCAGAAATTTCCTACTGTGTTTCCTGGAAAATAAGACCTAGTTCTATATTTTTTGGGCTCCAAAATAAGCACTAGAGATTATTTTCGGAGATACACAATTTCAGGGTGATCAGCCTGGCTGGGCACCCTGCCCCCAGCATGTGCACAAGAGATGACAAATACACAGGGACTGACGGTATCTGGCAGAAGCTGCAGCCTGCTGGTCCCTTGGTTGGCGCACTCTAGAGTTGTGCAGCTCGCACAGTGCAGGTGAGTTGATTTCCTGCCTAAGCAGCAAACTGAGGCAGAGGTGCAAGACAGGCGAACTGGATGTGCTGCGCAGGCTGCAGCCGATACATGAAGATGAGCGTCTTATGGCAGCCCAACAACTTTTACCTTTCCCGCACGGCGCATCCAGATCTACCCCCCCAATCTCCATCTGCTGCCAGTGCTGTTGCACAAAGACGATCCTCCCACAGCTGCCCGCTACTCTGGCCCATCGACTATCAGCTTTTCTGCAACCTGTCCAGATCGCGTGCCTCCCCACCTCTTTCTGCTCCTTGGCAAGGAAATCAACTCACCTGCACTGCATGGGCTGCTGCCAGTCACCATCAGCCTGTGTTTGCTCACCACCTCCTTTGCTGGCCACCCTTACCCCCTTTATTAGGGGTTATTTTTGGAGTAGGGCTTGGAGTATTAGGCACACACTTAAAAATCAGACTACGACTCATTTTTGGGGTAGGTCTTATTTCCAGGGAAACACATCCTCGAAGGTGTTCACGAGACTCTTAATTTATACTTCTGTGGAGAAGCCTTTAGAGACTGTTTATATTTCAGATTTTAGGATATCATAATATTAATATACCAAAATTGTTATTTACTTTAAAAAATGGTAATCAGGACAGAATCAATAATTTATTATAGAAATAGTTAGAAAATCATTTTTAAGAACCAAAACAAAAATGAATATAATGGCTTAAATTTATAAACCATATTATTTATTTATTTATTTATTTATTAAATTTTGTATGCCACCCACTCTCAAAAGAGACTCAGGGCGGCTTACAATAAAAGGGAGGGGGGTATAAAAAATGATTTTCTAACTATTTCTATAATAAATTATTGATTCTGTCCTGATTACCATTTTTTAAA